TGGGAGGGAGTTGTGACCTGGAGGAGGTGGGGAGAGGGGATAAAGAGGGTTTGGGTGGTGTCTTGGGGCTGGTAATTAGGAAGAAAGAGGAGGTGGGGTGCCAGAGGCAGGCTCTGGCTAGGAGACGCTTACCTAGGTGTCTCCTAGCCAGCAGCTCTGCAGGAATCTGAGACAGACGCCCTGCCTATGTACTCAGTGGGCTGCTTCACATGGCTCCGCTCCAGCATAGAAAGGGAGGAAGGGAATGAGGGGGACAGGTGGGAGTGAGGGAGAGAGGATGCTTCATTTACTGCCCCTGCTGTCAGCAAAATTTCTCAGCTCCTATTGGCCAGAAACTGGCCAAAGGGAGCTGAGGGAGTTTGCTAGGGGGTAAGGACAGCATGTGAAGCTTTCTCTTCCCTGCCCAGACTGCACAGCAATTAGCAGCCTGCTGTTTAAAGAGGCTGCAGCTGCTCTGTAGTAAGGGCACCAGCGAGGCAGCCATGGGCTAAATATAGGCTTGGAGGGCCAGATTTGATCCTCTACCAGCCTCTTGCCCAGCCCTGCTGTAGCACCTAGGAAAAGGGCTCGGACCAGGGCCCATTATTCTAAACCCTATGCAAACATTACACAAAGTCAGTCCCTGAGCCATCGTCTCATTTCTACCTTCTTCCCTAGAGGCAGCATTTTCGCTCCATTCAGAAAAATTGCCCCATTTTAGAGGCTAAAATGCAGATCTGCACCAGTGACTGGTTTTCTATAGCTAAAAAAGTCAGCTCCTTGAAAATGTAACCTATTGGACTTTAAACTCAAAACATTTTTTAGATTTAGAGAATTTGGGTTAGATTTAGAGGATTTTGTGTTGGTTTGTGAGCCCTGCAGAGTTGTACATATAAGGCCCAGATTCTCAAAAATATTTTGGCTCCAAATGGCCATTGATTTAAAGGGATGTTGGATGCTTAAACACCTTTGAGGATCTGAGTCAAAAGCACCTGCCTTTACAAGCTATAGGATATGACAAACTGTCCCATTAAAAACCATTTAAATCCTCTAAAACATTTCTGATATTGCTGTCCTGTAACACATGACCTCTCTTGAGTGCAAGAGGGTGTGGTGCAGTAGAACGGTTTGGCTTGCACTCTTTTGAGATGGCTGGCATACCTCACTCCTGACTTCACTACTGAGTAATGTGCCTATCCCAAGTATAGGCTGGTAAAACCTCAATACAGCTCCACCTCATCAGGCATTCCTCTGCTCAGAACCTGACTGTGCTCATAGTAGTCTGTATAGCAGGAATTCACAACTTGCAGGGTATGGCCCTAATTGCAGATTCTAAGAGATGGTGGCAAGAAGATTCACCTGATGGAATTGGGGAGGATGTGGATGTGTGAAACAGGAGTAATGTTAAACATAGAGGGAACACCATTCAAAATGGAAAGGAAGGAGTAGTAAAAGAACCTCCTTCCAAAGCATAAATGAGGTGCGACTTTGTCCCCACAATGGAGGGGGAAACTAAGGCCTTGTTTACACTGCCATGTTTTGTGGCCAAAAACTGCCTTTTGGTGACAAAACAGTGAGAGTGTTTACCTGCAATAAGACTTTTATTGGGAAAAACATCCAGTTTTTGCAACAGAAAACTTCCAGCTCTGTCAGAGTCGTTTGTCTTTCCCCCTCCCTTTATTGTCGACAAAGAGCCAGTGTGGACCCTGATGTGTGTTTTGTTGAGAGATCTGGCTTCTGCCAATATCCCACAATGCCTGCCCAGATAGCTATGCTCAGTGTTTTGTGATCTTTGCTGCCCTGCAGGCATGCACCCCTCCTCTTTCAAAGCTCCTAGAAGTATGTGACAGTGGAGAGAGTTGCTCTGTTTGGGAACCAACAGAAAATGAATAATTTAAGTGCTTCTATTCTTCCCTGTACTAGGAACACAGTGGCAAGCAGACTACTGCTGTAGGGGAAGAGCTGGAGACACTGATGTGCTGCTTTAACATTCCTTAGCACCAAGCGCTCACAGAGCGATCAGGGAATCCCAGGAAGTGCTGGGATTAGCTCTGCCTTCCCACAACACTTCATTGTGGGATACTTACTCACAATGCTTTGCTCTATCTGTCAACAGGGTGCCAGCAATGTGGCCATGAAATGTCAACAATAGGAGGCAGAAAAACCATTTTGACTGTTTTTCACTTTTGGTGACTTTTGTATTTACGTCACCAAACCCCCTCAGTGTAGACATAGCCACAGAACATAAGAATGGCTCTACTGAGTCAGAGCACTGATAGGGTACATCTACATTGCATGCTAAAATCAAATTAAGATAATTGCATAGCTGAAGTCGAAATAGCTTAACTTGGCTTTTGGCACTGTCTACACAGCGGGAAGTCGAAGGGAAGAACACTCTTCATTCAACTTCCCTTACTCCTTGTGAAATTAGGGTTACAGAAGTTGGAGTAAGAAGGCTGTTATTTTGAAATTATTTCAAAATAATGGGCTTTCTGTGTAGACGTGCACTCTACTATTCAAAATAAGCATGCAGTGTAGACATAGCCATAGATTCCTATTTTTGTCCCATAACTGCAGAGGTGTTAACTGGTCAGTCTACCCTGCCTAAATGGTCCTGTACAATAGGTGCTAACTTCTTATGCTAAGCAATCTGTTCCACCTTGCATTTGCTGTGATGCTGGAATCTCCCTTCTCAGACATGAAAAACGCTATATGGCTCAAAATTTCTTGTCTCTCTCATCTGAAATTAGTCCAATCAAAGCTATTACCTTATCCACTTTGTCTCTGGACTGTAATTAATGTCTCTGGAGTCTTTTTAACAATTTGGCATTAAAATGGCTATCTTCCTGTCATCTGGAACTGAGACTGATTCAAGCAATAAGTTACATTCCACTGTTAGTAGTTCTGCAATTTTATATTTGAGTTACTTCAGAACTCTACGGTGAAGACCATCTGGTCTTGGTGACTTGTTATTGTTAAATGTATCAATTTGTTCCCAAACCACTTCTATTGAAACCTTAGTCTGGGACAGTTCCTCAGATTCGTTATCTAGAAAGAATGGCTAAAACTAATTTAAGAATACTTAAATCAGGTGTAAACTGATTTAAGAATGCCCTGTCACATGAGTATGCACTTGTTTAACTAAATTGGTTGAATAATGCATTCAATGCAATAATAATGTTAAACAGATACAAGTTTGTATTTAGGCAAGGAAATTTTTAAAGGCACCAAATGGTGGTTAGATGCCTAGTTCCCATTGACTCTTAATGAGAGATAAGTGCCTGACTGTCCTTTGTGTGTCTGAAAATCTCCCAAAGGCCATACTCTATGTTGTGTGAAGCATTGTGTACATTTCCAATGCTATTTAGATTATCATTAATATTTCATTCTGATGCAGAAGCCCAAAGGTACACATTTTGAATATGAATATCATTACAATAAAATACTTGTTTAAGAAGCAACTGAGCTTTCTCTTTGTCTATTAGTTCTTTTAGATTAACTTTGAAGATGTTTTTAATTGTATGGCCACTTGGCAAGTAACTGAAGTAGCAATTGATGAGCGGTTTCATGGATTTAATGAGTCTGGATCATTACTGTTACTTTAAGACAAATGTTTACAAAGAATGATTTTTTAAAAATAATACTGTATATGAGATGACTAATGCTGATTTTAATGTCTTTAACATCTCAACAAGCTTTTACACTTAGAAAAGTGTAGAATGATATGGGCTCTTTTTTCCGATCTGACTCACTTTTGTGATGGTCTTTTAAGTTATTTTTTATACTTTAGTTGAAAAATCTTTTATAAAATTCATTTTAAAAATCACATACAGGATTTCAATGTGTAAGAGGAATCTTTTTTATAAAAAAATCCACACACATGCTATATTATCAAAGTAGAGCTATACGAAATTAGATTTTAATCCATCTCATTCAGAATATCAAGGACAATTTATTCCTGCATATTTGAACATCCACAACAAACATTTTTAAACATGCTTCAGTTTTCAATTTTCTAGAAGGAAATTTCTTCTGGTGCATTTTACCAAATCTATTGTATATTGCAGGAGCCTCTTTCCCATTCTTTGCTTGATATATGTAAATATCTCATTATTATACCATAGTATAATAATAATTCTCATTTGGGACTAAATGCTGTTGTCCTTTCCCTTCCTCTGGCTCATCACACCCTAAATGAGCAGGCCTTGTATGTGTAGTGTAGTTGTAGCTGCGTCAGTTCTAGAACTTTAGAGACCTGAAGAACTCTGTATGGCTCATTCATCAACAGAAGTTAGAGAAGTTAGTGATATTATCTCCCCCACCGCGTCTCTTAGGCTTTGTACAGATGGTTTAATGAGCAAGCAACCCTATCCAGTCCTTTGATCTGAAATAGCCCAAGTTGACTGGTTGCCAGTGTGTGTGTGTGTGTGTGTGTGTGTGGGACTAGGGGCAGTCATCTGGCCACCACTGCTGCCATAGGAGCAACCCGGAGTCACAGGCCCTTTTAAATGACCAGACCTCAGGGCAGCTGCCCCTATTACTCAACGCCACTCCCCTGTCAGCATTCCTGGCCACTGTTATAGCACAAGGGCTCTTTATAGCACTAGGGCAATCTGTGGTATGTTGAAAGGTTATGATGGCTATGCGCCAAACTGAAATCAGGCTTCAATGAACTGGTACCTACATGTGTCACCATGAACCTGATTCTCCACTGCCTCATACGTTATACAGTCATTGACCCCTGTGTAGTGAGTGCATAATGCTACCAGGTCAGAATACTCGTGTTATCTAAGCTCTTTGCATTCATGTTGTTCAGGTGTTAGTGACTACACAAGATATAGGTCATTGGTGAAACACACCCTATGACTTCAAACCAGTGAGCAAAATCTACAGGAAAACATCTATGTCAGGTTCGTCCATTTCAGATGAGAAATACCAAATAAACAGACAAAAGGTAAGCTGAATATATTAATTGTTTTTATAGAATAAGATCCTAGAATCATATCTGAACATCCAGTTTTTAAATATGGTACATTCATTTTCTCACAGAATATTTAAATATTCAGGTCATTTAGAGTATATTTCTCATACTATTTGAGTTAAAATCTTTGGATAAATTAAACAGCTTCTGCCAAAAGATACAACTTATACATGTAAAACTAAGTAACAATTGAAAAAAATAGCCACAAAGTAAAGAAGGTAGGATCTATTAAGAAATACTACCATAATTTCGGCTTAAAAATATACTTGATCATATTAATCTCTTTTGAAAATATAGTTTGTATTTCTTTTCTCTTTCTAAATTTAAGTCTCATATAATTTCCACTTAAGTTAATAAATATGTACAACAAAAACCTTTATCTCAGTGAATATAAATAGTAAATACTGTATTAGGCTACGTTCAACATTCCTTTGCTCACCCAATGACTTCAGAGATACTTTTGAATTTCTGATGCCAAAGGATACAGATCAGGATCTAAATGTCATCAAATGATTAGCTTTTACAGAAGTCACTTTATAATTCAAACAAACAAACTCTAAGAACACTGCTGAGAGCTTAGAGTCATTCCAGTCATACTTTTATATAAATAGTCAGGTACAATATTAAGGGGACAATGTTTTAGATTAATTACTGCTAACAGTAATTAGGGGGAAATAGTGGAAAATGAATGGAAAAATATATTGAATTAGATGTATCTTTTTTATACTGATTGTACTTGGTTCCCTAATATTTCAAAGAAGAGTTTTTGGTATAATTGGTACATTGTAAAACTGTGAAGAAACTTGACCATCTTCTTCAGACTTTGGAGAGTTTTTTTAGGAAAGTGGTATGTTTTCAGCTGCTTCAGCCCATGCGTTAGGGCCTTCATTGTGTCTTGATCTGCGTTTTTTATTCGCCACAGATTGAGAAGCTTTAGAATTTGTTCTGTAGGTTTGCATAGTTTCACAGTGCGCTGAACATCTTCTTTTCCTACTTTCTTTCCTGGTAAACTCATCATCAGAATGTTGAGGTTTTCAAAGCTTAGATTAGCTCGGCCAATATGTTTTAAGACACTAATTTCACACAGATTAATATCTACACAAAACAAAAAGCAAGGAGGAACATTAATATGATTTATTACTATTTTATAATGGCTTAAAACAAACTCCAAAATCAGAAAAGGACATGTACCCAGCACTGTTCCCTCTAATTTTTTCTATCCATGTGTGAAATGAATTTTGTTAAATGCACCGAGGCATGTGCAGATGCGCATTCCCAGTAGAAACACAGGCTGCTGGCTTTGAACATTGGGTGCTTTGCTATCAGCTAGACAGCATCTGAATATCTTCTGGGTGGCTGAGTTGGGACCCTCAGTTTGAGAAATATTGGTGTTCCCTATGAAATCTGTATAGTATAAGGTAAAAGTACCCAAAGATTTCACAGCGGAGACCAGATTTCATTGTCCATGTCACGTTTTTCACAGCTGAGAATTTCGTAGGCCCCTATTTATATCATATACCTTGAGTCTGAATTTCCCTTGATCTGTATGTACACACCCAGCTTCCACTGACTTCTATAGTTCTTTCTCTATTGTAAAATAGGGCAGAATGGACCCTGAGTATCACAATATTTTCTCCTCTTATTGTCCCAAAAGGGCCTTGATTTACACTTCATGTAAATTACTCAAAGGGGGTCATAAACTGTGAGTCTGGGCAGAATTTGAACATAAAGGTTTACATTCTGCATACAGTCACACTCACACAGTTCTTGTTGACATCAATGTGAGTAGTGTGCCCACAAACCAGGGCAGAATTTGGCCTCAGGAAGTTACAAAAGTGATATTTTAAAAGTTACTTTTATTGTGCTTGCTATTCTGTCTGAATTACCTTGAACGATTTTCTTGAATATATCCTGTTCTTTGTTTTGCTGCTTCCATAATTTCAACAGTTGGAACATCTGTTCTTGAGGACTATGTTTTTGTATAATCCTTTCTATATGTTCTGCATTAATCTTTGTCCCAGGCAAACCATCTGTTAGTACGTTCAGCCAGTTAGGGGTGATTTTTTCAGGAACTGCAAACCTGAAAAGTGCTTCTTCACACAGAGTTACATCTAAAAACAAATAAAAGAAAAAAAGATAAATTAAATCATGGAGTTTAAGGATAGAAGGGTCCAGCATATTATCTCTTCTCTCTTCCTGCACATCAGAGGGCACTAATCCCCACTCAGGGTATGTCTACACTACCCTCCTAGTTCGAACTAGGAGGGTAGTGTAGACATACCCAGAATGATTAAAGGTCTCGAGAACATGACCTATGATGGAAGACTGAAAGAATTGGGCTTGTTTAGTTTGGAAAGGAGAAGACTGAGATGAGACATGATAGCGGTTTTCAGGTATCTAAAAGGGTCTCATAAGGAAGAGGGAGAAAAATTGTTCTCCTTGGCCTCTGAAGATAGGACAAGAAGCAATGGGCTTAAACTGCAGCAAGGGAGGTTTAGGTCGGACATTCGAAAAACTTCCTAACTGTCAGGATGGTTACAGACTAGAAAAAGCTGCCTAGGGAGGTTGTGGAATCTCCATCTCTGAAGATAAAATTTAAGAGGCTAGATAGACTTCTGTCAGAGGAAATTCAAATCCCGGGCTTCATTTGCAAGTGCGGTATGCCTACATTACCCTCCTAGTTCGAACTAGCGGGGTAGTGTAGACATACCCTTAGTTACTTCTGCACTGAGCCCAGTGACTTAGAGAGATTAGAATTACAGCTTTCAAGAGACTAAGCTATTGTATGCCACAAGCACAGAACAGAAGGGACCAGGGAGCACCAATACCCAAGGCTCCTGCAGTGATAGGGAATTGCTTTGATGAGGTAAATGAGGATGATCGTAACAGGTATCTAAATTCTTCTAAAATTGTTTGGACCTTACAAAACATAGAGGGCCCAGGATTATAAGAAAAAACTATTTTAAAAGTATGTCTAAAAGAAGATTTACCTGACGTTGCTCAGGTCCTTAACTCAAATAAGTTTTGTTTTTCTTCATTTAAATCATTATTCTGGGGTGGAACTGAGGGTGAAGGGTTCAGTATGCAGTCTGCCCCAGGAGAGAGGACAACCTCAGCCCTCTCTCAATGCAGAAGCTTGGGTCAAGATGAGAAGTGCCTGTCCACAGCCAAGGGAGGAGTACATGACAAATTCTCTGAAATATATAGTCGGTTGCTGGCCCTTTCTCCATCCTTGCCCCCTGCTAACCCAATGGGTTTATAGAGTCAGGATCCCCATCTCTGGCCCTTTGCACCTCTTAGGGTCATTCTACAGTATAACTCCCTCCTACCAGACCACTCCCTTTCCATTTTATGAGAAACAATCAAATTCCAGGCACATCCCATTGTCTTGGAACAACCAAACCCTGACCTTGCTTTAAATTATAAAAGGAAGCTGCATACCAAATTTGATAGTCCTATTTCTTACTGTTTAGGAGAAGTTCTTGAACTAATGGACTCACAGATAGATGCACATTTCTAAAATATAGAGCAAGATAAGGGACTGGTCTTTATTTCATAGCACTGTTTGCTTCTTACTCCTATATCATCCTGTCAACAGTAACTGGAGTTTGCCCATCACCGTAGTATGTGAACACCTAAGGGTATGTCTATACTAGCCACCCTAGTTTGAACTAGGGTGGCTAATGTAGTCATTCGAACTTGCAAATGAAGCCCGCGATTAAAATATCCTGGGCTTTATTTGCATGTTCCCAGGCACCGCCATTTTTAAATGCCTGGTAGTTCGGACTCCCTGCCCGCAGCTACACGCAGCATGGGCTAGATAGTTCGAACTAAAGCCCCTAATTCGGACTACCGTTACTCCTCCTGCAATGAAGAGTAACAGTAGTCTGAATTAGGGGCTTTAGTTCGAACTACCTAGCCCGTGCTAGCCACCCTAGTTCGAACTAGGGTGGCTAGTGTAGACATACCCTAACAGTTTTAATAATTTTTACCATAGCGATTGATAATCCCATTTTAAGAATGCTTGTAGGTACTCTTATACTACACTCTGAAATTATACATACCTATTCCGCATTTTTGAGCTGACATGTCTGTGTTTTCATGGCACATATTGTTACGTAGCGCATTGCCTTTCAGTACTATTGTATGACCCAGTGCACTGCAGTTTGTGTGTTTTTGGCAGGTTGCTTTGGATGAAGTTTCATCTGAGAAAAATCCTTCTGGACATCTCTTGCAAATGGTGTCACTCTCAGGGGTGCCTTTAGAAAAAACAAAACCCACCACATTTTACAAAACATTCATATTGTGAGTTTTTGTGCACCGTTGAAGAAAATAGCAAAAACTAAATGATAACTTTAGATTTTCATGTTTTTTCATTCACTTGGAAGATAGTTGTATAGTTTTGAAACTTTTTCCTCTCAAATTTAGATGCTGATGCTAAGAAGTATTTTAAATAATCGTTTTAAACACGCTGTCTTCTCATTCCTGCATACATTGGTAAATTAAAATCAGTTAACTTGACTCTATTCAAATGTTTACAAAAGGTGTCTGACCTTCAGCTTTCCTTTATATAGATTTTTTTTGGAGACTCAATTAACTGGCACACAACATTGGTTAACATTCTGCTCTGTTACATCTGAACAAAAAAACACTAAAATAAATTACTCAGCTTGTAACTGAGTAGAATTTTCAGCCCATTTTTTTAAATCTTTTGCATCAGGTTCTTCTTTCTCTGTGTATTCTGTAATATAATTTAAATACAGTAGTCTTTAAACTGGCCTTTAAATTAAAACCATTCATCCATTACCACTTTCCTCCCCTTCTTTATATATGTACATTTATGGAAGTTTCTCCAATATGTATTTTTAATCTATCAAGTATGAAATTCCAAAGTTATATAAATTATACCATTCCATAAACTAAATGAGTTTTCAAAGCCTTTAAAAGTAAGTTGTTGTTCAGTAACATAGTAAATTCAAAATTATATATTGACTCCTCTTTCTTGGATTGATTATATTATGCTATATGTGCCTAAAATCTAATAAATATGCATGATCAGGGAAATATATAGAAGTGTTTGACTAACTGCTTTTATAAAGAAAATATTTATTGCATCACAGTTAAAGAACAGAATATGGAACATTATCGTACCACACTGACTGAGATGGAGAAAATCAATGCATGAAACTTAAGCCAAGCAGCTACTGAAAATAATTTATTAAATGAAAATCCTGACCCAAATCAAAGCTCAAACCATATAACCCCATTTCAGCAAAGCATATAAACATGCTCTTATCTTTAAGTACATGCTTAAGTCTTCTTGAAACCAATGGGACTTAAGTATGTGCTCAAAGTCAAACACATGAATAAATATTTAATTAAATAAGGATGCATTTAAAGACATGGTCCCTTCTGTCCTTAAAGCCTCTGAGTCTATGATTCAGTTCTTTGCTGGAATTGGGGTATATATAGACACACATATTGAAATTCCTCCATCTAGTTAGTGTATTTTAAAGAGTACTTGCTGTTAAAAGCTTAGTGCACACAGGTTTGTATTAAAATAAGCACATTGCTACAACTGTACCTTTCTAAGACTCCCTTAGAAACAAAAGGATATGAACCTCTGAGTTTCCAAGTAGCTGAGGGTATATTTATATATATGCAAACACCCAACTTCTGTTTTCTCTAGATAATGAGTAAACATATGTATAGGAAAGCAAGATTTCTCCTTGTTCATATCTGAACTTCTCAAGTGACTCTGTACAATTAATTAAAAAGAAAATACTTTTTCTATAGCAGTCCCTCAAAAGGATAGTGACAGAACAATGCACCACAGAAGGCTACATGCAGGTTTGGCTTTTTAATCTGCTAATATTATGCAATGACTGCTGCTGTAAACAATATGAAAAGTCCAATTGTCAGAGATCTGCACATTTTAGATGTTCAGGCACCAATTACCATTGCTAAGAGATTTGCTGGTCAACTCCCCCTACCATAGATATGCTGGGGGGAGGGGGGGGGCGAGTGTTCAGGTTGTTCCCTCCAAAAGAGATCAGCATCTCCATATTTTGGGAAATGGAGCCATATTGTCCTCATTCTCAGAAATACCTGCAGAGGTGGGGGGAAGCGGACACAGTACATGGAAACTCTAGTAGATTGCTGAGTTTCTTCTGCAGCTTCTTCTCAATGGGAAAAGAGTAGAGTAGATGATCTGGAAACTCAGCAGAGTCACAGAATGGCACCTTTCCACTGCTTTCCAGCCTTCCTCACTGAGAATTTGTGCTGCCATTGACAGTCCCCCAGTGTCCACAATCTCCCACCCTTGTGAGCGGAATAGTAAGTGCAGAGTGAGAGCTAAAGTGGCTTTGATCTGAATTAACTCCCAAGTGGATTTCTCCTAAGAAATCTGTCACATTATTGGGCACCATAGTGCAGAAATTGGCTAAGGTTTGGTTGGGATATGGCAGAATTAGATCCAAAGACTGTTCCTGAAAAATGGTGAAACTTTGTGTGATCAGGTGATCTCATGTAATTTCTGTCATTTGGGTGTGAAATCTCTTAAGAATAGATGTTATTGTGGGATTTCAGTTGCATTCAGACCCAAACCAAAACACATGCTCCATGTATTTTTGATCTGATTTAGAATCAAGTTACCATGGCTGATTTATGTTGACAGGTAAAATTCCTATTCTTCTTTGCAATTATAAGGTACTTTGATTTGAGGTTCTAATTTTGGCCCTGCTCTAGTTCCTTGTCAGTCCTTCAAAGGAACTCACTTTCTAGTTAAAATGAGTTTCAAAAGTTAGAAGCATATGTTATTAAAACTACAAGATACCAAATTACAAGAACTAAACAGGACAGAGAGCACCAGTGTGAGAAACAATTTGATCAGTTTACAAAATATATTAAAATAAGAAATTTCCAGTTGCCAGAATCAATTTTGTAGGACAAAGAGGCTATGTACTACAGTACAAATATAGGAACCATTCCAGAGAAGGGTGAGGCCCTTTGGTATCCAAAAGAAACAAATCATGTGCAATGAGCTCTCTTGGATGACTGCTAATTTAACAGTGTCTAAAAATCTGACAGTAGGATCACTTCCCAGAATAAATATACTTTGATGGTGTAGCCTACCTAATATTTGGCCCACATGGTGCTTTTATTCCCTTGCCAATGAAAGATTTATAGTGGCCACCAATGTATGCCTCATAGCCTGAGTGCCAAGACTAAAATGAAGGAAGAAAAATATACTTAATTTTACAGTGCTCTACTTCCATGGATCCGAAAGCACTTTATAAAGCTGGTTAATTGTCCTTTATCAATAGTGACAGATATGGAAAAAGAGGAGCAAAGAGGTTAAGTGATTTGACCAAAGTTACACTGAGGCAGTGGCAACTGGGAACAGAAGTCGGATTACAATTCTCTAAGCTGTGTCCCTGGCCTGGACCACATTGTTCCACATGTGATTGATAGACTAAGGCCATACTCCACTATCATTTACATCAGTGCAAAGATATTGTATTCAGGGATGTCACACAGAGGTAACTGGAAACAAAAATCAGTTCCCTGTCTTTACATTTTCTAGCAATTGTCTTGTCTTAAAAACTGAGGATTATAAAAGTAATTGTCTTGCTAGGGTCTGTATCTCTGGCAAGACATTTTCTTATTTCTTGTTTGAGGCCTTCTTGCTGTTTTGTAGATGCACTCTGCTATCATTTAGGAACCCATCTCTGATATGTGATAAGATCATTTGCTTTCTTCTAGAAGCCTAACACTTTTGGCTTAGTCTTGAATTGATGACTTCAGGGTTGTTAGCCATTATTTTATTATCCTTTGATGGATACAATAAGCAGGCTTCCCACATAACCCTGGGTCCTTTTGTGGGTCTTCCAAATGGCATTTTGTTTCAGGCCTCTTGAGCCTTGCTTTTAGCCTAGCTGTAAAAACTATGACATCAAACTTCTTAACTAGCAATGCTTTTGCAATCTGAGTACCAACAAATAGAGTAGCTATAAAGTTTCAGCTGGAGCTCCTATGGTGTTTAATCGCTTTCCTCTTTCTGTCTGTGCATAACTAGGAAAGCAGTTCGCAAGTTTAGAGATTACAGTTGAAAAAAACTTCTGAGGCATTCTTTTATTGTCCTGTGTCTCCTCCTCTTCGTTCTCTTCTCCAGGCAGTTACCAATCTCAAGTTTGTATCTGCATATTTCTGTAACATTTTCCATCCAAGGACCACAAAGTCCTTGACAAACATTAGCTTTATAAGTCAAAGAACATATTGTATAAGAAGTGACTATTATTAACCCTGTTTTCAAACTAGGGAAATGAAGCAGAGAGGCTGGATGATTTGCCCAAAGATCATACAGGAAACCTGTAGCAGAGTTGGATTATGACCAATATCTTCTGCCCCCCAGTCCTGTGCCTTAATCTTTATTATTCATCCATATTATTTTATCAAATACTGTCAAAATATTGAATTATTTTAATAGTATCTGGTTTCAGCACAAAAATTCCATATGTATATATTTTATATCCACTGGGTGAAAATAAATCCTTGGATTACATTGTAGTTCAGAAACTTTTGACTCAACTCCTCTGGGATATATGTTTATTTAGGAGTATTGAAGGTGCTCCTAACAGCAACAATGATGTTCTGTTTATTAAAGTGTCATAGACATATAAGTATTCTATTGAAATGCTTCAATATTGATAGTTTTATGTTGAAGCAATTGTTAATAGCTATGTGGTAATGATTTCCAACAAATATTGTTTATTGGATTACCAGCTGTGTTCTGTGAAGGAAGAATGGGATTATTTATTTCAGGATTTTGTCACAGAGACTGCTGAAGAACAACTGGGACCAAAAAGAATGAAAAAACAATGCTGGATTACACACGATGCCATCAAATTATAGGAGAAAAAGACGTGCATTGCAGAATGAACACACTGAAAAGTAAGAGGTGAGTCAGTGAAAAGAGAAGAAAATGGGCAATAGAAAAAAAGAAACATCTGGAATGAGTAGTCAAGAGGGCCTGTCAAAGTGATTTTAATCAATGCTGGACAGGGCATTGAGGAAGCCTCTAAAAGACATGACCAGAAATATGTACACTTTGGCTCTTTTGACACTTTGGACATCCATTCTCACAGCTTCCTTAAGTTAAGAAGAAATGGAGAATTCTGCCATGACCCTGATGCATAACTTAAGCATTGGTGTGAACATTATTGTGAATTAATGAACAGATCTAAACTAACCTACAACTTAATCAAAAGGTGTAACCTACAGTTTCCTGAAAAACATGAGCCCTGTAGAAAACAGGCTGTTGACACCGACCATAAGCATCACATCCTCCAAACTGTCAGAAAATGATAAAGCATCTGATCTTGACAAAACTTCATCAGAGCTGTTAATGAGCAGCAGCCAGCATTTAGCTGATTGGCTTCAGAGTTATCTTAAGTGTGAGAGACTGGTCACATTCCAAAAGATTGGAAAAGTGGCTGCCTCACTCAACTAGTATTGTTTCTGTACAGGTCAATCTACAGTCCATGCTATGTACCTTTTGTGCAATGTAATTGAAAATGACTTGTTCGACCAAAGGACGTTAACATCTGATTTCTAGACTTTGTAGCTGCCGTTGATCCAGTGCATCGATCAGCACTGTGAATACTGCTATACCAGAAGGGAGTGCCTGAGGAGTTAGTGAGCCTAGTAGGGGTATTGCATCACTGTACATTTAGCTGTATGAGCATCAATGGTTATATTTCAGACTGGTTTTCAGAAGAATCAGGTATTCTCCAGGGGTGCAGTCTCTCATCTGTTTTATTTAGTGTTCTAATAGACAATATGATGACAAAGATTGCTTGAAGCCAAAATAGAAGGTGTGAAACTTAAAAGATTCATCTTTAGAGGGTCTTGAGCCCGCAGATGATATTGCCTTAGTTAGCAGGGGCGGATATAGGGCAGGGCGTGTGGGGCGGCCGCCCCGGTCCCCGCACTTCAAGAAGCCCCGCACATATGCCGTGTCAAAGGGGGGGGAGGGGCCTGCGAAATTGTGCTGCCCCGGGCCCCACAACATTGTCATCTGCCCCTGTTAGAGTGATTACTGACCAACTACAGCTACTGCTGGAAGAACTTCGACGAACTGCAGAATCTATGGGATTTAAGATGAATGGTGACAAACCAAAGCTATACATTCCTCCTATAAAATAGAAACAAATGAGCTGCTGATGCTGTATGTACATAGCAATAGACTGAATGAGTGAAAAGTCTTGTCCGTTTAGGTAGTTGGTTAATACAGGAGGTTCAAAAGATAAAGAAGTTACACATTGGATCATTCTTTCATCAATGGCATTGGAGCATCATTAAAGGCCTCTGTTTGGGCAGTAGGATGCCCGTGTTCAGTGCAGTAGTGATGAGAATTGTTGTATGGAGCAGAAACCTAGCAGTTAAAACAACTAAGGGGAGGAAACTAAATAGTTTTCAGTATAAAAAATTATGGCATATTCTTAACAGCTGTTGGTTCAATTGTGTCACAAACAAGAAGATTCTTAGATAATCCTGGCAAGTTGCAGTCTTGCACCAGTTGAGAAGAGGAGAACAGCAATGATAGGATTATGTCCAAGGAACAGAAGAAACACTTTTACAAGAAGCGTCGTAGATCTGAGGTCAATTAAAGCATAGCATAAGGCTGACCACATATGAAGTTGGAAGATGCAACTTTGAAGGATTTAGGCAGTCTAAATCCTCCAATAGTGACTCACAGGAAGCAGACTTGCAAGGTATATTGAAGAAAGAAATCCATTCTATGGAAAAAAATGGTTACTTTATAGCCATGTGAATCTGCTACTGCTACTATCAGAAACAGTTCTTTGTTTTAATAAAGGACAAATTATTTGACTCATGGATTCCTGTGGTGTCTAACATGCTAGCCATTAGCCACATGTGGCTATTTGGCCGGTTGAGTGTGGCTAGTTGGCTTGAACAATGTGGCTAGTTGGCTAGTTGAGTGTGGCTAGTTCACTATAGCAGTCGCCACTATAGTGAAGACTGCTTCAGAACTGGTTGGACACCACAGGATTAGACAGCTGTTTAAGCTGGTATGCATAGTATAGCCATATTAGTCAGATCAGATGTGGACAGCACCAGAATGCTTCCACAATAACTTTTTAGCTCCCCTGTTCTGTTGCATAAAAAGTGCAAATATGCATATATTGCTGGTAACATATAAAACCCTTTACATCCTCCACAAGCACACAGCATACTTGCACACCTTTGTTCAGGTGGAACAGTCAATTGATACAGACTTCAAAATAATTATTCAGACTGGAAAGCTTGATTTTTATACCAAATCCATACTGACCTCAATATTCACACTTGGGATCCACCACTCACCACGTTCAAATATACTCACTGGTGGCCTACCTCTACTCCCACTGACGTCAATAATATAACTGTCACCAGCTTCAGAAGAAGGAGAGAGAGGCCAGCGCTAACTACTTTTGAAATTCCTATTCATAATCATTTGTTTCAAAGGCGTTTCAAAGTTAACAGTGATACTAACTATGGCCCCAAACCTGCATGGATCCTTATGTCCAGAATTGCATAGATTTTGCCTGAAAGGATCTCTATTCCCAAATTTCAGTGGGATTCCACACAGGCACAGAGGTCTGTGAAGGTAAATCCTGTTGCACAATCGGAGCCTATAACACAGTTTAAATGCTACATGGATCTATGCAGTAGCATGAAGGACATGGTTAAGCAGAATGCCAGCTTCCATTTCTTTTAGGCACATTAAATATTGGCACTAGACTGGGCCACTTCATTTGCAGAATGACAAAATATTTTGTTTCAAAACCAGAAATTAGTCTGAACAATTCATTTGGTCTAAAATGAAGAATATGCTCTGCTGAAAGCACATTGCTGCAGCCTTTATCCTTCCCAGACATGTACTGTAGCATGTTACCAGCTTGTTTGACAAAGAAGTAGTTGGCTGGTCTTCGGATGATAATGGTTTCCCTTGCACTTCCCATTTAGGACACTGATAATTAATTATTACTACATTTTGCTCTGACACTAGTGCTATATTAATATTGTTATAATTATGCTCTTGGTGCTTATCGTTTAATGCTTCTGGTATTTGTCAAAGACACACAGTGGCTTGAAACAGCAAATTTCAAAATGACAGAACAGAAATACTGTATCCCAGATAATGTTCCTCTAAAAGAAGCTATCAATCATGTTTCTCATTAGAGTGCAATTTACTACTTTTGGTACTGCCATTAATTTACACATTCAGTAGGAACAGAATATTCCCTTGAGAAATGTTCCTTTGGCTACTGTCCAAAGCAACGTCACAATGGTAACAGGTTCCATTAGCTTTGCCATTTAGTAGCCTGTAATTTCATCTGGACAAGCTTGTTTCCTAATCTTTAAGTGCCACAAGCCTTTAATGCTTTGTACAGCTCTAATTAATTCTGTTGCATATTGAAAGCAGATACATACCTGGCTGTACAACACCAAATCCAGGAGGACATTCTGTGTGCCTTAAACAAAATTCTAGATCAAGGTATCTCCCTTCGATACATTCACAGATGCGGTTCTGTGTACTGTTGCATTCTAGCTTTACATATTGCAGCTCTTTGCACACTGTGTTGCAGTACTGGCATTCATCGTTGCTGTTCCAGTCCTCTGCATAGTATTGATCTGGACATGGTGCACATTCAGTCTTTCTTGCAGCTGTACAGTGCTGTTTTACATAGGTTCCTGGAGGGCACAGGTCACACATCAGTTGACGAGATGTTACTGGATCATAATGGAGGTACTTTGGAGGAGAGGTTTCTTGAATTGTCCACTTCACAGAGATATCCAAGAACTACCAAAAGAGAAATAAAATATTGTTCTCTTTTGTCCTATGAGATACATAGATCTGTAGGTTTCTTTGTCTGTGCTATCTAATTATGTCTGTCTCTTCACATTAATTTAAAAAGATGTACTGCAGCAATATATACAAATATTGATGAACTTTCCCACTCTTCAGTGGCTACGTTATTATAGAAAATTTAAAATTTGAAAAAAAATCAGGCATTCCATATTACAACTATTAAAATAGTGTGGAACCACAAAGTCCATATTTACCCGAACCAGTTAAATAGCATGATTTTACATCAGACCTCTCTATTTTCCTGGGTCTATTCATTAGCTAACAAAGGGACTTACCCTGCAAATCACTTAAACCATGATTTGCAGGATACGGCTGTAAGACCAGAGATGCTGTGGGAACAGAAGTGTGGGTTTAGATTGTCCTCTCACTTAGCACTAACACCTATCGGCCAAGGACAAGGAGCTGTACTTGTTTGAACCAACTGTGGATCTGAACCCCTGATTTCAGGGAAATTGCTCCTGATTTTCATCAATGTAAGTCAGAGGAGAAACAAGCTATCCGTATTGTGAAGCATCATGCACACTTAAGATACATCTACACTGCAGAGCTATTTTGCATCTATTGAAGCAGCCCATTATTTCTAAATATATTTCGGAACAGCAGGCGGCTTATTCTGACATCCTAGTAAGTTAAGGGGAACTTCGGAATAGCGCGTTATTTCGTAATTTGGCGCTGTATGGACAGCACCAAATTACGAAATAAGCTATTTTGAAATACAATCAAAATAAGCAACGTAATTTGCATAGCACAAATTGCATAGCTTATTTTGAGCTAATGGTGCTGTGTAGATGCGCCCTTATAGAGCAACAGAAATGATAAATATATTATTGTACTCTTGAGCAATTTTAATTCATGTTGTGGTAGAAAACCAACCCTAATAGATTGCACTATCATCACGAAGTAGATCAAAATTCAAAGGATGTTCCTTTCCTAGATTTATTTTAACAAATAAATTGTGTTTATCAAATAAATAGCAGCATGCTTTTTTTAAAGCACCTTTCATTTACTCTATCACTGACATTCAGCCACTCCTCGGATAAAATGTAACAGCTGTTTAATATCCAACAGGAACACTAAACAGTTTAAGACAGATGTGTAGAATACTGCATCTAACTGAAATTACATGGAGGCCTGAGGAGTGTAGAATTTTATCTCCCAAACTGGAATGCCCAGAATACTAGGGCTAATGCTTTTTGTCACAGGACATCGCCGAGGTAGCACTGTCCTGTCCAGCAGGACAGTGCTGATGGCCCTCACCACCTGCAGAAGGAGACAAACAAACAAAACAGAGAATCACAGGGGTGCCAGAGCTCTTTGGAGGTCTCCGACTACCCCAGGAGCCATCCTGTATGTAGCCAACCCCTCCCCCCCCGGCAGGGGAATGGGGTTCCCCCCTTCTCTAGGGTTCCCCTTTCCTGCACTTCACACACACCCCAGGAGTGCAGCCTAAGAGCGCTATACCTGCATGATGGGGGCCCCGACAGTCGACTTCTGCATGCCAAACTGAATCCCGATGGATCAATAACTGTCTGGTGTGGCAAGCTTCCAGATAGCTATGGCGACTTGCTTCTCCAGTGGGATGGTGGGTCTCATCTGGGCATCCCGTTGTGTGAGGGCAGTGGCAAATCGGGTGCACAGCTCCTGAAAGGTCTTCTTCCTCATGTGGAAATTCTGGAGCCACTGATGGTTGTCCCACCACTCCATCATAAGCCGGTCCCACCAGTTGGAACTGGTGTCCAGCTGCCAGAAGCAGTAGTGCACAGTGGCGTGCAGCTGGAAGAGCTGTACTCTCAGACAGCGGTGGGGTGCAGCTGGAAGAAGTGAGCACCCAGAGAGATGATGAGGGTCTCCTCGATCAGCTGGAGGTTGCGTTCCTGCAGGGCCAGGAGGGTAGCCTGCAGAAACTGATGCATAAACCAGAGGCACCTCCAGCTCCATAGATGGGAGTGCTGTGGCGTCCAACATGGTGACCAAAGCACACAGTGAATATGCTTTGCTTTCTCTCAGAGAGGTAGGCAAACAGGAGAAGAACCTGAGAAACAACTGTAGAGGGGAGTCCCTTTAAGCATGTGTCTCAGCCTCAGGCAGCAGCTCCAGGAAGTCACTGCTGACCTGATGCCCTGCCTGAAATGGTTCCGGGTGGTCTTAAATGTGAGTTAGCATCCAATCAGTGTGGATGCTCTGTTCTGAAATAGCTAATCGCTATTTCAATGCGCTTTTTGTGTGTAAATTCTGGAATAGCTTATTTCAAAATTAGCATGCAGTGAAGACATACCCTCATCTCAGGAATCCTGACCTCTGCATGCTCAGTGTCTATCCTTTTATATAGTGGTACCACTGGCCTGATGGGTCCTTGTGTTAGATATAATCCTGTTTTACCACTCCCTCTATATTTCCCCCTGTCTTATTTCTCCATTCATCCCTCAGTAATGAAATATTTCCCTTTTCTAATTCACTGTACTATTCCACTATGTAGTGTGTGTGTGTGTATTTACTCTGGGGAATTTGGAACAGGTGTCCCTTGCGTGGAAGCATAGGTGCTGATGATGGGGTTGCAGCAGCACCCCCTGGCTTTAGATAGTTTTCATCAGACACAGGGTTTACACTTTGCTTCAATGATTCTCAGCACCACCAGTATACACATTGTTCCAGCACCCATGGGTGGCAGGACATTTCCCTGCTGAATTCCTGCACTTCCCTTTTCTTATCAGACGCCATCATGCTCACAAAGATGCTAAAGTTACACAAGTCTTCCAGAAAGGCATCAAGTTGTTATCAGAAGCTATATCTGAAGATAAGAAGGCGCATCTACTCCTTCCCTGCATACCTTGTTCCAATAGTTAATCACGCTCATGGATACAAATGGGTGTTTATTTCTAATTCAGATGTGTCTTGATGGTTCATAGCTGTGTTTTTCTTAAATGTCTTGATCAGATTCACTGAAGCTATTTAAAAAAGGGTGCAGAACATTTTTTAAAAATGAATGGTGTTTCATTGATGAGTCACATATCCACCCTTGGTAAACCTGTATTACTCTAGTTAGGGGGAAAAAAAGGCCTGATAATCTCATACATCATTCTGTAAACAGTCCAAGATTCCTTTTAGGGTTCTTTTTTCCCTTCGTCAGACAGATCATTTAGCAAGAATGAAACCACCCTCCTGAATATCCTAAACACTTGCCTGGACAAACACAGCACATTAGAGCAGCATTTCTGAAACTTCTGTGTGGAATGGGGAAAAGTGAAAATGACAATTGTAAGACAAATGTTGCAATTTAAATGTTTATGGAGCGCTGTGAGCTTCAGATAGTACTCAGCACACATGAGAAGCCAGCGTTAGGTGAACAACACACGCTCACACATACACCTCTTACTTCGGTTGTAGAATTCTAGCTCTTACCATTCATTCTCTCATTGTACACACAGAAGCACATTTTCCACAGGGTGGTTCAGCACCCAAGAATTTCCTTTGTCCCATGTATAAGTAAGAAGAACAGAATTTGACCCATTGTCCCTAGTTGCTGATTTCCACAGAATCCCATATAGGGGAGGCAAGTATGAGATTGTATGATAGGGGATGGGGCAGTTTTTCAAAGGAGCTCAGCTCCCATACTCAGGGTCAGATGGCAAGGGAAATAGTGAGGATGAGAGGTACTCGCTATCTTGCAGGATCTCATGCAACTCATTAAAAACTATAAGCAAATTGTTTGAGACAGGTTCAGAGTGGAATTTATATAAATGTAGCTTTTGGGATGACAAAGGTCCATTCTGGTGGGGGTAAAAAACCCAAATAGACCTGAGCATTGGTGAATCTACTCATTTAAATCTCTACCTCAGTAAGCAAATGCCCATGTAATACTGTGATGGACCAGCACCCATATGAATATAAATGTGGCTATAAAGGAAAAGCAGGCCATTCAATAGGCCAATATGTTTGCTTCCTTGTTTGTTTTTAAAAGCAAAGAATTTCACAGGTACTAGGCAAAATTCTTCAATTCCTTGATATGCATCTTGTGCAGACATATAAATGCAATATGACAAATATGCAAAATGACAGCCACCATGCTCTGGGGGCAAGATGGGGGGAAAAGGGTGGCTCTATGCCCTGGAATGGGCAGAATCTTAGGTAGAAGGAGTGGGGCTGGGACAGTCAGCACCCCCTGCCCTCCATCCTCAAAGATGTGTGGAGTGCATGCCACACCACTCTGGCAGCAATTCAAAGAGGCCGGGAACTCTGTCGATGGATCTGCAGGCATACATACAAAGTACCAGGCTATTCTGTTTCATTGGAAGTCTTTAGGTTACATTACAGGCATAAAATGAACTAGTATCTCACTGTTCTAGAAGATACTACTCCGAGTTTTGAACACAATGCCGTGTTATTCATCCATACATTCCCACTCACTAACCTTTACCACACATCTGTAGGCCTAGCAAAATGACCCCTTCAGACTGAAGCAGACAAGTCTGTTATTTAGAGGAATGTCTTCAACTTAAGATAGAACACACTTAAGAGGCAGCTTAAGATACAACACTTGTGGCTTCTGATCAGAAGAGTAAAGGCCTCATGTTAAGGACCTGAATCCACAATTAGGTGTCTACCTGATTTTCAGCAGTGCTATGGAAATAGGTGCAGAGGCACTATACAGCATTATTATTTCAATTTATATTACCAGAGTGCTCAGGAGCCCTACTCATGAACCAGGGCCCCCTTCTGCCAGGTGCACTTCAAACACAAAACAAAAAGACAATCTCTTCTCCAAAGAACTTCCATTTTCTGTGTCTGCTTGATTTGGGGTCATTCCTATTGTAGTTGTGCATGGTGTTTTTATACAGTGTTTTTATACAGCCCATGACTTCCCACTCCCCAACCCACACTGGGATTAAGCTTGTTCTTCAGCAAGGCAAAACTCCTATTACTGTAAAATGCTT